TGGCTTATTGATAACGATTCTCACCTATTTCCATGAGACTATCAGTTGCTGTTTATGGAGCAGGAATACGCCTAGTTGACCAACAAAACATAAAAAACGTGACTCCAATTCATGCTCCCCAATTCTAAAGGCTTCCATGCACACATTGGTTCCTGAATGGAGAAAATGAGTGTGTTCAGTATGGTCCTTACAGGGGAAGGACAATTCGGGCCTGGGTCTGGTCTCTCTGGCCCCCTTGCTATCATCTGTGATGCATATCCTTACTTTAATGCTTTGCTATAATAGATCCTTTTCCTGCAATAAACTGGAGACTTGTACATCCAGACCTTAAGTCCTGGGGGTCTTCTCTAGCAAACAAACCTTCCTTCATGGCCAGTGGCATTGCAAGGCCTTGTTTGTGATAACCCTAAACTGCAAAGGACCCAAATGTTCATGCACAGCAGGATGGATAGATAAATCGGGCCATATTCATGCAATTGAATACTGAGCAGCAATGAAAATGACTGTTAACTGCATATAGATCAGAGATGCCTCTTACAGACATAATGCTGAAAGCAGCTAGATTCAAGAGAATCTGCTGTATACATGTTCAAATGTGTGTTTACATTTGTATAAAACAGTGCAAAAATAGATAAAATGAACCCAGGATACATGCTGGTCACCTCTGGAGGGCAGGGATGGAGTCATGATTAGGAGAGGGGACTGTAGGCATGTTCTGTTTCATAACCTGGGCTGCTTCCATGGGTATGTTCAGTGTGCTGTAATTATCAAACTTGCATTTTCTGTGTGATCGAATTTTTTAAAAAGCTTATTAAAGGGGCAGCTGGGTGGCTCAGACAGTTAGTTAATCGGCCGGCTGCCTGCAGCTCGGGTCATGATCTTTGACTCCTGGGATCAAAGACCCATGTTGGGATCCCTGCTCCACGGAGAGCCTCCTTCTCCCTCTCCCTCTCCCTGCTTCTTCCCCTGCTTATGCCCTCTCTCCCTGTCGGATAAATAGATAAATAAACAAAATCTTTTAAATTAAAAATAAATAAATAAAAAGCTTATTAAAGACAAAACAAACATCAGTAAGTCCACAGTGTTATTTAAAAAGAGAGAAAGAGAGAAACACTTTTTTGGTGACCCTTGAAAGTAACTAGAACATCAACACCTTAATCTGAAAATTGTAAACTATAGAAGGAAACCTCCTTGTTTGTACAGACAAATGTTTGTATATATACAAATAATACATAATATACAAAAATTTTTGTATATTTCAGTGTTGTTCAACAACCCTACTTGATGAAGAAAAGGCTTTCTTTACAAATAATTCCTGATTAATAAATGTGAAATTAACAACAGAATTAGAAAATCATCAATGAATACAATGAGAATAATCAATCCAGGCAAAGATCTCTGTGTTAGTTAGTTATGGCTATATAACAGATCAGCCCAACATGTAGCAGCCTAAAACAAACATTATTTCACAATTTCTGGGGGTCAGGGATCCCTGCCTGGCTTAATTGGGTGCCCCTGGCTCTGGGTCTCCCACTCGGTTGCAGGTGGTCAGCTGGGCCACAGGCATCTCTGGTCTTGACAGGGGAAGGGTATGTTCCCAGGCTCACTCATGTGGCTATGGGCGGCAGGTCCCATACGTTCAGCTGGCTATTGGCCAGAGATACACCGGTGACTTGCACATGGACCTCTCCACAGGGCAGATCAGAAGATGGTAGCTGGCTTCCCTAAGAGCTAGCAAGGGAAGGCAAGAGAGGGAATCCAAGATACAACCCACATTTTTGTGACTTACTAGACAGAATCCAGTTGTTCTGTGACTTAATCTAGAAGTGACATCCCAGCATCTCTGCTACATTCTATTCATAGAAGCAAGTCAAGAGTCCTGCCTAGACTCAAGGGAAGGCAGTAGACAGGGTGTGACTACCGGGAGGTGGAGGTCACCGGGAGGTCACCGGGAGCCTCGAGGAGGATGCCGACCATCGTCCTCAGTGCTGGAAGCCATTAAATGAGATGTTGATGGGTCACCACCTAAATCCACGACTCAGTCCCATAATCACTAAAAAAGCAACAACCAGATTACTACTCACCTTCTGTTGTGATGCCATCTGAAGGACACAGCATCACCTAACAAAGTATTCTCTGAAAGATAATCAAACTTTTAGAAAACATCCAATTTGCAAGAAATATGGATAATGGAAGAAGTTAAATGACACCATGAGGATACAATCTAGTTTGTGTGAACATCTACAGGCCAGTAGACCTAGGTCCTTGGTGATTCAACTGCATGGAAAAAAACAGAAAAACCAAAAACCAAAACAAAACAAAGGAAGAATTGCTCTAGCTTAAAAGAACTTTATGAGACTGAACCATCAAATGCAGTCTTTAGACTTTGCTTGGATCCTGCTAGACAAAGGTAGGTTTTGAGACAATTAGGGGATTTTGAATGTGGAAAAATAAACGGTACTGAGGAATAGCTGTTGACTTTTCTTGCTATAATGATGACTTCATGGTTATGAAAGAAAATGTCCATATTTTTTCTGAGATGCTCACGAAAGCATATAAGGACGGTATCTTAGACAGGAAGCCTAAGAAATTGCTTTAAAATACCTCAGCAAGGGGACGCCTGGGTGGCTCAGTCAGTAAAGTAGCCGACTCTTGATTTCGGCTCAGGTCATGATCTAGCCCTGCATCAGGCTCCACACTCAGCAGGGAGTCTGCTTCAGGATTCTCTCTCCCTCTGCCCCTCTCTACCCTCCCCGCCCGCATAAATAAATAAATCTCTTTAAGAAATAAAATACTTCAGCAGGGGTGCCTGGCTGCCTCAGTTTGTAGAGGCTGAGACTCTTGATCTCAGGGCTGTAAGTCCAAGCCCCACACTGGGTGTAGAGATGACTTAAAAAAAAAAATTTTTTTTACAATACTGCAGCCAGGGCGCCTGGGTGGCTCAGTGGGTTAAAGCTTCTGCCTTCGGCTCAGGTCATGATCCCAGTGTCCTGGGATGGAGCCCCGCATCAGTCTCTCTGCTCAGCGGGGAGCCTGCTTCCTCCTCTCTCTCTCTCTGCCTGCCTCTCTGCCTACTTGTGATCTCTGTCTGTTAAATAAATAAACAAAATCTTAAAATAAATAAATGAATAAAATACTGCGGCTGATACAGCAGACCCAATAACAAAAAGAATAGATGAACTAAACGTGGGAAAATCTTAGTAAGTGTTGAAGTAAGTGATGAGTATGTGTAGGTTCATTACACAATTTTATTTATTTTTATGATGGTTTAAATATTTTCATAGTAAAAATGGGAAGAAAGAGGACTAGATGGTTTTATAGCTGAGTTCTAGCTAGATTTTAAAGAATAAATATTTTCAATATTTAAGTAGCTATAGTCTCCCACATAAGATGAACCCCCCCCATTCATTTTATGAAGGTCACACAACTTTAAAACTTAAAAAAAAAAAACCTATAAGATGCATGAAGAAAACTTTATAGCTGTGAGTACATAGCTGGGGGAATTTCTGCAGGCTTAGCACACTTGGGCACACACATGAAAAAAAAGAATACAAGGGAAAAGAAAGGAAAAAAAAGAAAAAACAATACTATGAGCACCCTAGAAACTTCCCTCATGCCCATTTCTAGACAGTTTCACCTGCTAAAGATATCCACAATGCTGAAGGCAAAATTTGATTTTTTTAAAAGATTTTATTTATTTGAGAGAGAGAATGAGACAGACAGACAGAGAGAGCATGAGTGGGGGAGGGTAAAAGGGAGAAGCAGGCTCCCTGCTGAGCAGGGAGCCCAACACTGGGCTCCATCTCAGGACCCCGAGATCATGACCTGAGCCAAAGGCAGATGCTTAACTGACTGAGCCACCTAGGCACCCCTCTTTTTAAAAATTTTTTAAAAAGATTTAATTTTTAGGTAATCTCTATATCCACTGTGGGGCCCAAACATACAACCCCAAAGTCAAGGGTTGCTTACTTCTCTGAATAAACCAGCCAGGTGCCCCAAACGCAAGCAAATTTTCTAAATAAAATATTGGGGACCCGATTCCAGAAATATATTTTAGTATCTACACAATCATACACATATATTATTGATCATTCACTTGCTCACCATTATATCTTGGACTCCCCCTGGGTTCTTGCTAGAGTACATACTTTCCTAGTGGTTTTTCCAGTAAGAGATTGTGGGTGGTAAACAAGTTGGCTTTTACATTTTAAAAAAATGTATTTATTTTAACCCTGCTCTTTGAAGAGCATCTGGCTGGCTGGTGAATTTCAGGCTGCCCGGTGTTTTCCTTCAGCATTTTGAGTGTATTGTTAACAGAATCTGTCGCTTCTGTCCACGCAATCCCTCAGCCTCTCTTTCGTAGGCTGTTTTTTCCTTTCTTCCTTACTGTGGTGCAGTTACACTATGGGGTTTCTGGATAGAAAGTTATTTTTATTTTCTTGCCAATCATTCAGTGAGGTTTTTCCATTCCAGTTTTCATTCATTTCATTTCTGGAAAATTATTGGTCCTTTCATTTTCAAACATCGCTGTTCACACCCTGGTTTCTTTTGCAACTTCCACTGAATATACTTCTAAACTTCTCATTCTACCCCCCACGATCCTTCCTTTCGAATTAATCCTCTCTCTTAATCCAGTACCCATTGAGATAATTTATTGATGACTTAATCCAGTACCCATTGAGATAATTATTTGATGGTTATTAGGATTATTTTTTACTTCCAATAATTTTATGTTTCACTTTCAAGATTACCAATTTTTTTTTCAAATCTTCTTGTTCTTGTTCTGTAAATGTTACTTCCTTCCTCAAGTCTTTCAGCAGTTAACATATTATTTTTAAGTTCTCAGATTGATCCCTACATCCTCAGGGATTCATTCTTTGATTTGTCGAATTTACCAACCTTTTTTAAAGATAATACACTTCTTCACGTGTGTAGAACATTTTAAAGAGCTGTTCTTGCTTGGTAGCTCTCCTTCAGAGGTGTCCTTAACTTTTCACATGATCTAGATCTGCCTCAGCCCTGGTCCCAATGAGCTTCACAGGTCCAAACCTGGTTGGTCTTATAGAAGCAGATCAATCTGAATCTTGTTCTCCATATTAATGGTTTAATTTTGGATTTTACATCAATATTGTATAGACTCGGTTCCTATGTCCCATCTGCTTCTTTACTTTTCACATATAAGTTCAAAAACAAAACCCATGTCCAAAGTATTTTAATAAACAACATATTTCATTTAAGAAGAAGCTGCATTTTTTGGGGGAAAATCAACCTGAGGGTAAATGACTAAAGACCTACAAACTACAGGAGGGTAAATGACACCAGGTGTCTGCTGGCTGTCCACAAATCTCTTCTCACTGTCATATTTTATGTCTATGAATGGATCTTTAGTACCGTGCTTCCACGACACGAGCCCCTTGTAGTATCTCCATTCCAGATCCCTTAAATCCATGAATTGTTTCTCTGCAAAGAATCACATTTTCAAAGAATTACACGAAGGTGTTATTTAACCTTCAGTTATTCAGAGATGCTTCTTGGACAGAATGAAATTTTGATGAACTTGAGTCTCTTCCTTTTGGTAGAAAGCTGTTTCTAGAGCTTTACAAATGAAGCAGGCACCTATGGTGTTCATCTGTCTAAAGCCCTCCTCCAAATGGGGAGTTGGGTGGGCCTGGCTAACTAGGCTGGAGCAGACACTAGCAGGTGGAGGAGTCTCATTCAGTGCCTGGATCCTAATAATGAACAAATGGAGAGATCTACAGAGCACCGAGATCAAGAGATCAAGAGAGAGGAGAAAAGGATGCTGATGAGTGTTTAAAACAAGGACAAAGATTTATCAGAAGTCCATAGGTTGTTAGTGTCATTTCTTCCAAGATGCTGGTTTAAGCCCTGGGTATAAAGGGCCGTGGCTAGCTACTCTTTCAGGACCTACCAACTTGGGACATCGCTAGTAATTATAATCCCTTCAAGAAGCCAATGAACCATGGAAAGTCAAGCCATGATACACCGCATATTCTCTTACTCAGCAGTCATTTTCCTTTCCCTTCCTTTCAGTTTCTTTAATGACTAACCAAAATGTAAACCACCCTCCCTCCCCAAAAAGAACAGCAACAAAAAAAGAGCAAGGCATGAGGTAGACACTTGAGTGTAAAACCAGAGGCCCAAGAGTCAAGGAGATGAGTTTGAGGAACAGAAGGTGAATAATGGATACAGCAAACAAGCAGGAGGGCTGGTTTAATTCTCTCTTATCATTCTCCCTGCATGGTGATACTCGAGCAGGTCTGTTATGGTCCAGATATGTTCCCTGCACCAATCAGGCTTCCAACCCTGTCCTGGAAGGGCCCGAGCTTTGGTATATGTTCTGTAAGTGCTTGAAGTAGGAGACTGGGGCCAGGGACTGTCCCCTGAGTTCCTACCTTCCCTAGTGGAACAGATACTTCAGCAAGCTGTTGGTGCTGTACACTGGTGGTCAACAGTGTCTCCCTAAGGGCAATTACTGAGTGTCAGGAGTTTGACAAGATTTTAGCAGGCTTGCCATTGGAAGATCTGGTTATAGAAGGAACAGAAGGATGTATTTGACAAGAGAAGCCCACAAAGTTGATGATTTTGATTACTACAGAGCTTTATGCTGTGATCTGTGGTACACACTACAGATAGTTGGCTCACTGCATACCCATTGCAATACTCTTCTGTCTTCCTCTACCATAGAGGATGAAAAGCTAAGATCTCTATTCACCACCCAGCAGTAAGGGGTGGCTCTTGGGCACAATTCTGACCAATGAGATGTAGGGAGAAGTCCCGGAGGAGGAGTGTTCTGAGGACGTTTGGCTTCCCTATTAAAAGAGGACACAAGTAGCCAATGTGGCCCTTCTTCTTAGCCCCCTTTTGCTGCCTGGAATGTGGCTGTAGTACCTGGAGGTGAAGGAGGCATCTGTTGAGCATGAAGACAAAAGCCATACACAAAAAGACGGTGGAGCCTGGGTCCTTGACAATATCAAAAGCATTGCTCCAACATTTGTCTGTCTACCTCCAGACTTCTAAGGACATAAGAAAAATAATCTTTATTTGGTTTCTCTGTCATTTTTGGTCAAACACATTCCTAACCTACATAGTCCTACAGTTTTTAGCCTGAGCAAGAGGAGCTGATGTGATAGAAGGACAAAATGGTAGCACTCATTCTCTTTTCCTTCCCCAGGGCTTGATGCTAGTAAGGATATGTTCTATAATAGTCTTTGGTATACCAAGACCCCTAAAGTCCTCGTGGCTGAGAATACTTTAGGTACTGGCTGACTGATAAAATGACAGTAATACCGGACAATATAGGAGAGGAAAAGATGAATTGTTGCAATACCAATTAAACCTAAGTAATTACTGGATGGTCTCCATATGGATGCCTACACCTGGCTTCACGCATATTCCTTGAATAGACAGGATGTGTACTTGAAATTCTGCCTATAGGATCTAAGGAAATGAGGTCATGAAGACAGAGAAGAAACCCCAACAGAGTCTGGAAGGCCACAAGAGAGACCTCTAGAAGTTAGGTTGCAAGGAGACAAGCCATACATTGGGGATAAAGGACAATTTGGCTCCTGTCGATGGCACTTTTTCAATAGGCTCTTTGACAGGACTAATTAATTCCTAATATTTTCCATACTTTTTCCTTTCTGGTCCCAGACTTTACCTCATGCACTTCTGTGGATTCGCTAGGCCATTCCTACAATTGCCCTGATTTCTACTCCTGCCTGGGCTCCAGAACACACAAAGTATGACTCTATCAAAGGGATCTGAAACCTGCATTAGACTCTGTCAAGACATCAGTGTGGGGAGTTACAGCAAAGACTGTTCTGGCATCTTGGACCAAATATGAGCAGAGTAATCAATCTATGCCTTTGAATTTGTTCCTCTGACTCTCCCACTACTTTTAGTATAAAAATGGTGCTGTCAAAATATTTGCTGTGCAAATGGTTTTATCTTGAGTCAAGAACCTACTTTAGGAAGGTTCAAATATTTCATATCATTGACTTAATCTATTTTTTATAGCTACCTAGAATGACAAATTATTACCTCCCTCAAATTAAGGAAAATGAAGACCTTATAAGACACCCCCTTCTCATTGAAACTCACCATCATATATTTTATATATTTTTAACTTTTTCTAAATAGTTTTTTTTTTAAAGAACATCTTCCTATTAAAGTGTCAGAAAGGAAGGGAGGAGTTTCCTCTTGTTGTTTGTAGAGATGTATCAATAATGAACGGGTATGAGTTCCTGAAAAAATATCTAAAAATACCCCCTCTCAATTGCACTAAAGCCAAGATACTTTAGAAAAATAAGCCATTATTCAGTAAACATTTGGCTAAGTTCATAATAGTTATGGGTGACTCAGAGTCCCAAGTTTAACTAGCTATTATTATAAAGGTGACTTTAAGTACCACACCCAAAATACTCCTTTGCGAGACTGGAATGTTCCAGTCTTTTTTCTCTACTTCCCATTGGCACTGTAGGCAGCAGGCACATCAGCCACGAGCCCCAGAACTGCAAGATTCCCATGGGTCACCATGTGACTATTTCAGCTCTCATAACCTAAGTAAATGTTGCAAGAAGATTTCCACGAATTTCCCCCCCACATAGCCTCCTCTGTTTAAATTACCTGGATCAACTAAGAAGTACTTAGCAATTCTGTCTGCAAAGACAAAATTTTCTGGCCTGATCCTGGAAATGCCCAGCATGCCTAATATGTTGGCACCCTGAGTCTTCTCCTTTGCGGGGACGGGGACCGGTGATGAGGATTTGGAGTGTTCGATGAGAATCTCATAGGGAAAAGTGTGTGCAGGAGGAGGAATCTCATGCCGGAAGAGCCTCTGCTGGGATCTGGTGAGTCTCTCCACCCGAGAGAGGGAAGGGGTCAACAAGCTTCGGTACAGGATTTCAGTCATAGAGTCTGGTTTCTCCTTCTCTCTTCTCACCACCTTGCACACGAAAAGAGGCTGGGGGTCTTCTTCCCTCACATCGTCGGTTCCACTAATTGACATGGCATTCAGGTTTTGGCTAAGCATTTTCTGTGCTTCGCTCAGTGAAATACCGTGAGTTTTTAGGAGATTTGATTTCTTGCTCTCCTTAGTAAAGTCCTCGACAAAAGCATACAATTCTGGCAGCTGCGGGAGGGAAAAAGGCGGGAAGTCAGGAGACAGGATGAAAATGTAATTGGTAGACTCACAAACCCTGGAACAAAAGGATACCAAGGAACCATGAAAACAGAAGCATCTGTCTTTGGAAGCTATCTCTGCCTAACGAACCCGAGCTAAGAGTGGCAATGTCAAATCTCATAGTCATTCCCAGAAAGGGGTATTATTAGACACAGCACTTAAACCATGAAATGGGCCCATTAGACTTGGATCGGAAAGTCTGTAAGATTTTTCCAATGTGAAGTATGATGAGCTGCCATGGAGAGAGAGAGAGAGAGCTGTGGAGGCTTATAGCCTTTGTTTGGAGTAAGGCTATGTTTTCTCTCTTTTTCTTTTTCTTTTCTTTTTTTTTTTTAAGGCTGCATTTCTTTTAAGGAAGAAAGAGAGCCAGATAATACAGATATCAAAGCTTCATCCCAGTGTCCGAAGGGCTCAGAATGTTCCAGAATGCAGTGCAAAGGAAGCTCTAAGAGTCCCTATTCATTGGGATAGTTTACCAAAGCAAAGAGTTAACTTGGCGGAGTGTTTGGGAATAGTTGTTGGCAGAGAAAACAATAAAGATTTCCTTAGAATACCTTCCTTATCCAAAATCCTATACTGAAGGAATAAAATCTCATTTTCTCCAGCATCGGGCCTACCAACTCCATTATTCCTAAGGAAGTTCTTAGGCCATTCAACTGGAAGGCCAGAAAGGCCAAAATGAGAACCCAAATTTGGGTCATCAGCCCAAGGCACTTTCCCTTCACTCCTAGGCCGTTCTGTGCCAGAGCAACAAATACCAAGAGGGCAGAGGGGGGGAGAACGGCTTAGCTCTCGCACGCACCTGCCCTGGAAATGCTGCATTTCACTGTGACCAAAGAGCATCAGTCAGTCCATGAAGGGGAATGTTCGTATTCCCTGGGCCCCCCAAGAACATCACCGGGTATTGCGGTAGCTCAAACCGTTACAATTTTTTTTTTTTCAAACTGTCACAATTTTTGAATATCGTTTGCCCTGTGGAATACTGCAGAATTGTAAGCACCTACCGAATATCCGGGAGACTCTGCCGCCGCCCCGCCTTCCTCCGGATTGGTGTCATTACTAAGAGACATCGTGAGAGGACTTTGTCCTCGGATTCCTGAGAAAGCAGTAGAAGAGGAGACAGTGAAAGATGAACAATCCAGCCAAGTACAAGGCAGGAGGGTGGGGCATGGGTAACGCTTTTTAAGTGCCCAGAACTTTGTAAGTGGGACACTTGTTAAAATTTTATACCATTTTAAGTTTTCTTTTGTTCTCTTCTTACCATAGGTCTATCAAATGACTACATGCCAACCAAATATTTTCTCTGAAACACCTCAAATTCGTATATGATATATATGCTCTGGCATTTAATACTAATTAAAAGAAACTGGGGTTCCTGGGTGGCTCAGTGGGTTAAGCCTCTGTCTTTGGCTCAGGTCATGATCTCAGGGTCCTGAGATCGAGCCCCAAATTGGGCTCTCTGCTCAGCTCTCTGCTCTCTCTCTCTGCCTGCCTCTCTGCCTACTTGTGATCTGTCTGTCAAATAAATAAATAAAATCTTTAAAAATAATTAAATAAATAAAATGAATGCTATTCATGGATGACAAGGAATGAAGTTCTGATATATGCTACAGCATGATAAACCTTGAAAAATTAGGCTAAGTGAAATAAGCAATTCACCAAAGACCACATATTGTATGATTGCATTGACATAAAATTTATAAAATAGGCAAATCCATAGAGACAAGAAGTACATTAACAGGAACTAGCCTAAGGCTGGGGGGCATGCAGGAATGGGGAACGACTGCTAATCAATCTGGGTTTTTCGGGGGGTGATAAAAATTCTAAATTTGATTGGGTGATGGTTACACAACTCTCTGAATATACTTGAAATTATTGAACTGTGCTCTTTGAAAGAATTTAATGGTGTGTGAATTGTTTGTTAATAAGGCTGTTAAAAATGATTTGGAGAGAAAATGATAGTTATGAAAGATAGACTAAGGAGATGCAAAATATTGAATTGGTTACTCCGTAAGAAAACCCCCCAAATCATAGAATAGAAAAATATTTAAAATTAAAATTCAGGAAGATTTTCCTGGAATTAAGGATTTGAATCTGTGTATTAAAATATCAGAATGGATGGGGCGCCTGGGTGGCTCAGTGGGTTAAGCCTCGGTCTTCGGCTCAGGTCATGATCTCAGGGTCCTGGGATTGAGCCCCGCATCCAGCTCTCTGTACAGTGGGGAGCCTGCTTCCCCCTCTCTCTCTGCCTGCCTCTGTCTACTTGTGATCTCTCTCTGTCAAATAAATAAATGAAATCTTTGAAAAAAATCAAAACAAAAAAATATATCAGAATGGCTAGCACTAAAACATATTCTAGTAAAGTAATTGAGTTTCAGGAAAAAAAGAAAAGAAGCCTTAGTTTTATCTATAGCAACAGACAAAAACACACCCAAAAAACCAAAGTTTGAGCCAAGGATTTTTCTATTTATCCAAGCTATGTTTGAAAGAATAAAAGCTTGGGGCTCCTGGGTGGCTCAGTGGGTTAAGCCTCCGCCTTCAGCTCAGGTCATGATCTCAAGGTCCTGGGATCGAGCCTCACATTGGGCTCTCTGCTCGGCGGGGAGCCTGCTTCCCCCTCTCTCTCTGCCTGCCTCTGCCTACTTGTGATCTCTGTCAAATAAATAAATAAAATCTTTAAAGAAAAAGAAAAAGAAAGAAAGAATAAAAGCTCAAGGAAAAATTTTGATCTTGCAAGAACTCAGGAAATATTGTTCCCATCAGTCCTTCTTGAGAGAACTATCAGTTGACTGATGGACTTCAAGCAGCCAAGAGAAGAATGGACTTCAGAAGTAAAGAATCTTCTAGAAGTAGGGCAAGGTTGCTTGTGAGGGAAAACTACAAATGCATATATTCTCTGAACCTAGGATTCCTACTCCTAAATTCTTACATTTGAAAAACATTTCCATAGATGCCAATGAAACATAACTGAGGTTATTCACGGCAACAACTTTGTTTGTAACAGCAACAGACTGAAAACAACTTCAGCGTCCTAAGAGAATGAGGGGTCAAACAAACCCAATGCCCACCCACAGTATAAAGGATAAGTTGTGCTTTTTCATTTTACAATGGGATACTCTTCAGCAAAAGAGTCTGTACTTTATGTTACAATGTATGTAACACTCAAATATAAGCAAACAATCTACAAGGTTAGGAGTCAGGATAGCGTTTACCTTGGGAGGGGTCCATACTGGAACATGAGAATTACACAGCTCTGGTAATATTTTGTTTACTTGATCTGAATGCTACTTGTGTGTGACTGATAGAAATCCACTGAGCTTTGCCTTTGTAATCCATGAACATTTTCACATGTGTCTCAGACATCAGGGCGCCTGGCTGGCTCAGTCAGAATACCATGTGACTCTTGATCTCAGGATCATGTGTTCAAGCCCCAGTTTGCACACAGAGATTATTTAAATAAATAAAAATTTAAAAAATATATATTAACAGAAACTTTACCTAAGATGGAGAAAAACAATTTCCAGGGAAATACTGAACAATACTGAATGATTAATGATAGTGGAAAGTGTAAAGACCTATTTAGCCAGAGAACTCCACCTTGGTTAAAAGCCATTTTGTTGTTGGTGCAGTAAAACTTAAACTGACCCTCCCCCCTCCCCCCAGAGGAACTTACTGAGAAGCAAGTCTGGGAAACCAGTAAAATATGGTCAGCTAGTTCCTAATAACAGAGCCCAGAATACAAGGACGAGTTGGGCCAGGTGGAGACATCCAACCAGTAAGAAACACACATACTTTTTCCCTAACCACCAAAGAATGTAAACCCCACCGTTTGGGCTCCAACCTTGAGCACTAATTCTGACCAGAGTAATAGGTTGGGTCAAACAGCTACTATAGGGTAAATTGTAATTCAATTGGCCACCTGCGTGTGACCTAACATGACTACAATCTCACTGGCCACTTATGTGTGGCCAGATTTTTGCTCTATAAAAGGTAGTCTGTAAGACGGGGAGGGGTCGCTCTCTTCGGAGGCGGCCCTAAACGGTCAGTCTGACTTCTAATGCTTAGCACAGAATAGAGCTTTGCATAACTTTAACTTTGTTTCAGTCTCATTCCCCTGGCCGATCGTCTAACTTCTAATACTTATCATAAAATAAAGCTTTAAATAACTTTCACTTTGTCTCAGTCTCGTTTCATTTAATAACGGACCTAACAGAAAGGATCTAGTATGCTAAATAGATGTCACAACATAGGACAAACACATATTGGAGGAGAAGTATACAACAAGTAAAATCTAGCTTAAGGATATTCTAAGACAAAACATGGAACCATGGTTGACAATCGTGTAACTGTTTCATTGAAATTTATGATTATTTTTCTACTTTTCCTTCAATTTTTAAATTACATTCTTATCTCCACATTTTTTGCAATTCTACTTTTGTTTGCGATTTGTCATAATAATTTTTAAATGCTTAGTTTATGGACAAATTACTCAAAAAAACAAGACAATTTTATAATCAAAATTCTCCATGCTCTCAGTAATTGTTGAATCACTATATTGTACACTCTACATTAACAATATGGGAATTATGATAGTGTTTCTTTTCTGTTTTAATTGGCTCTTTGGCGTAAATGCCAAGAGTGTTTGCGGAATGGAATATTAGAGAATTGATAGTGCAATTTTTGGAGGCCTTACTTAGGTAAGGCTAACTGTTTGTGTCAAAAATAGGTTCTTGTCTTGTTAAAGAAGTAATAAGACTTTAACTTACCAGTTAAACAACACTGCTATTTGAGGTTTCAAGGCTTCCTAGGGTTGAGCAACATTTTAAGATATGCTGTCTTTTTTTTACCCCCCAAGTTGGTAAGTATTGTTCTAGGAAAAAAACAAACAAACAAAAAAAACCAACAACAACAATATGGGAATTAAAAGAAAAAGCTTAATTTAAAAAAATCTTTAAAAAAATTCTCCATGCGCTGAGAGAAAATAAAATGTGGGTTCTGTGAAAAAGAAGGGATAAGACAATAGAATATATTGGGGAAAAAAAAGAACAAAGGCTTTAGGACTGCATAAAAGATGATAATTATAAAAAAAATAGTAAAGAACCAACATACATATACTTGCTCCTACTAAAGAAGAAAACAGAACAAAATATTAAAAGGTATAATTTTTTAACTTTGCTAAATGAAAGGCCCATAATAATTATCGTAACTGAAAAAGTAGTAAGAATGATAGACATGGAGCCACATAATGTCAAAGAAAGTAATAACTGCAAATAGATACAGTGTTTACAATGTGTCAGACACTGCTCTGAGTTCTTTAATGTATTAACTAACTTAATATTCATAAAAATGACTAGATGCTATTATCAGCCCCACCTTACAAACTGGGGATGGAGGTATAGGTAAGTCAAGAATACAGTTAAGACTCCAAAATGGCAAAGATAAAAACATTAAAATTATTTCATGTTGATGAGCTGTTTGGAAAAGAGGCAAGCTTATAGAACACCTGGAAGAATACAGCCTTCTTGGCAATATGGCAATATCTATTAACATTCAAAAACAATTTTTTATGACTCTATAGTTGAGTTTCTTGAAATTTTTCCTGTGAAAATTGTTGGCCAAGTTTATAAATTATGAACCAAGCTCTTCATGCAGCATTATTTATAATAACAAGAAATAAAAAGAATTAAGATAATGTGCAGAAGAAAATCAGAGGTAAGGCAGACAAATGCAGAGAAAGTGGGGCCCATCTCTCCTGAAACTATCACAATGATGTACCTCCTGCATTATAGTTATGTTTGCCCAAAATTTCCCCTTTGCTTATGATCATTTATATTTGGGTTTCTGTCCTCCCCAGCCCAATTCTGGTAAATATATTTGATGTATAAAGAGCTTTTTAAACCATTAAGAAAAAGATAAACAACTCATTAGGAAAAAAAATAATAGAAAGATAGTCAAAGGGCTTGAAGAGGAAATTCTCACAATTAAGAATGATGAATAAAGTCAGTAAACATAACAATATTCTCAATTAACAGGAAATTACATGCAAATACATATAAAATGAGATTTTAACATCATCAGGTTGGTAAATGTCAATAT